CCATTTCATTAGTAAATATTTAATATGTCATGTTCATTTAAAATATGTCACAGAAAATGAGGGCTTCTATATCCTAGAGTGGGTACTATAGGATAAGCACCGGACTCCATGGCACACGGAACAAAAACAACAACATTGCCCTGTATAAGGCTCTCTGGTTGTGCAGCAGTTAAGTACTTAGTGGCTATCCAGTAGTTAACTGGAACCCACCAGCCATTCCTTGGGATACGGTAGCAGTCTGCTTCTGTAAAGATGTAAAGATTTGCAGCCTTGGAAACTCTGTAGAAGCAGTTCTGTCTTATAGGGTCACTATGAGTTGGAATTGAGCCGATGGCAGCTTGTTTGGTGTGCCCTGTTTTGGAGTCCTGAGATGCAAACCGTTAACACAACTGGCTGTTAACCAAAAGATGAGAAGTTTAGGTCCACTCAGAAGTGCCAGGGAAGCAATGCCTAGCAGTTTACTTCTGGAAGATCAACTACGGAAAACCCTATAGAGCCCTGTTCAACTCTGACACACATAGGGTCACCGTGAGTCAGAATCAGCTTGACAGCAACTCGTCTGTGCTCTGTTTGAGACTCAAACCCATAATCCTTGATCCTTCTGCCTAATTCCATGTACTTGGAAACCCCTCATGGACTACTCTTGGTGTCTAGGACTGCACGGAGGACAGTGTTATCCTTTACCTACTGAATTAATGCCTTTTGATATCTATCCAGTAATGGGCTAATGGACTCCAAGTAGCCAGTGCTCCCATTCTGTCATTGTGCTTCCTCTCTTGGTGGAAACAATCATTGATTGGCATATATGTATATATATATATTTGCACAGCCAAGGATTTTCCCAGTACCAGCCCTAATCACATTTTTACCTGGTGGTGACTCATTTTCTGATGCTTAGGTAAAGGTCCCCTCCATTGCCAAGATATGGATAGGGAATAGCCATATCCCTCCCTACTGTTGGTTTTTCCTTCACTAAGAACCTTGGCCCACATCCCCTGAAATAAATTAATTTGAAAGGAGACTGTTTGCCTAGAAGAAATCTCACACATATTTGTACTCTCTGTTTCACCTGCCCTTTAGGTATATTTTCCCTTTGGTTTCAAGTAACAAACACACACTTGTGTTACCTTAAGAAAAGGGGGGTTGATGGAGCATTTCATGTAGAAAGCCATTCGGAGTGTACCTTCTCTCTGTGCATCACATGTGCTTAGTAAACCTGCTTTTCTCTGCTCTCTCTGCCTCTTCCCTACCACACTACTTCCTGTCATACTGCCAGCTCCCTTAACTTTAGCTTCAGCTCTCTTACAGATCCTCTCAGCTCCAGCCCCAACTGCTTTCTCTCTCAGTATTTCCTATATCAAATTCCTAAAATCAGGAATCTGGCTGACGTGTCTCTGCTTTTTGCTAAGCCATGACAGGGCTACTTAAGGTCAGTCAGCATCATGTACAATAAAACATCACTATCGCAGGTTTTCCTTTCCCAAGGAGCTTTGGGTGAAATGTTTCTCTTAAAGGGAGAAGTATCCCACTCCTCCAGGTATATATACCAAACATCTAAAGACAACCCAGAATGTCTCCCAGCTTCAACACGAGTCCAAATCATCAAGAAGCACTTAGGAATGGAATAACATACGTTGCCATGTGCCCATGCAGGATGTCCCACTGAGCATGTTGGCTTTCAAAATCAGACCACATATGAATGCCAGACTGGACAAGCAGCAGGAGAAAAACAAAGAGGAGAAGAGGATGAAAAACCTGCCAAAGAAAAAAGAAGGATATGGACTATGAGGAGCAGCAGAGATTAGAAAAAGCAAGGGAGAGGTCTAAGCAGCAGATCCATTAACATTAGGAATTGGGGAATGCAATGATGAGACAGCATCCAAGGACAGTCAGGGAAAGGGCAACCCGAGGGCTCACATCTCAGAACCCTCTGAAGGCTCTCACTGTTTTGTGCTAGAGATACATAAGCTAGAACTGTACAGCGGAACAAAAAAGACTATTAACAATAAGTTGTACAGCGCCAAGCGCTGTAGACTGCAGTAGTACCTGCTGCCCCTATTGAAAAAGAGTTACTAAAGAAAAGGAGTATAAGGTGTTTTAGAAAGATTTTGTTGTTGTTTTAAGAAAAACATTTTAAAATTTAGCACTTGAAGAGTTGTCCCTCATTATCTGAAAAATGCTTTACTTTACATATCTTAGTGACAGACATATAGCTATGTCTGTATCTATATACACAGCTGTGAATATTCCTATGTACATATATAAGTAGGGTAGTTTAGGGATCGATTGTGTATCTATGTGATAAAGTATTTAGAACATAAAGTACACCATTTTAACCCAGGAAGAATTATGGTAATCAACCAAAATGTCCGTGGCTTCACGAGTCCTGTCCCCTTAGTGATAGTTAACTTCAAAGGCTGGGTGCTTACTGCTAACATGATGCTCTTGCTGAAAACAGTTTAGCAGTGTCTGCTATGTGGCTACTTTCAGAGCCTGAAGTACAAGCTTCTGTCCTTAGATTAGTCAGCTTTTGCTACAAAACACCCAACCAAAAACAATCTCACTAGCATGAGACAGTAGGCATTTGTTTACTGCTCATGGGTCTTCAGATTGGCAAAGACAGCCCTGGGAGTCATCTGAGGCCATTCTGCTCAACCTGCTAGGGTCAACACAGATCTTCAGTGTGTCTCTTTCTGGGACCCAGGCAGTGGCTCCCCGGGGCATGTTCTTCTCAAGGTAAAAGGTAGATGCTCCCAGAAGGACGAGCAGAAGCATACTATGTTCTTGGAGCAGGTACCTTGCCTCTTCTGACCACACTCTATTGACCAAAGCAAGTTACATGGCAGAGGCCAATGTAATGTAGGTACAAATATTGCTACCCTAGGGAGAAGGAACTACTGCTGAAAAATCTTTCAGTCTTTCATAGTATTGATCATATTTCTAGTACGATGCAATTCTCACTTTTAGCCCTTACTTGCCCTCTCCCCCAGACAACCGTGTTTCTTCTGAATAAGACAACCTTCTCTATCCCCTGCTCATTTACAAACCTTGAGACAACATAAAAAATTAGGATGAAATCTCTGACTATAGCATGAAGTTAACTTGCATTAGAAGATTCTCTGTGTAAATGAAGTTACATGCATACCACAAAATAATAGCGAAGATTGATTGAAATATCTTTTGAGGGACCTAGAGTTACTTGGAGAGTCCAGTTGTTGCACTGTATGATAAACACTAGACTATTAACCGCAAGGTTGGCGGTTCAAACCCACCAGCCACTCCTTGTAAACCCTCCTCAGGGTCACTATGAGCAGGGGCACTGGACAGCACTTAACAACACCAAGAGTTACTTTTTGGAGCTACGCATAATGGATACAGAATAGCCCACAAGTTACCCAACAGATGTTGCCTTTTCCCAGGGGACAGTTTATATATTTGTTGTTATTGTTGTTGTTAAGTCTGTCAGGTCAGTTCCTACTTATAGTGATCCTGTATAGGGCTTCCAAGGAGCAGCTGGTGGGTTTGAACAGCCGACCTTGCAGTTAGCAGTCCACTGCTGATCCTACAGCACCACACAATTAGGGCCATACAAAGATGAGCACGCTACGTATTTATTTCATGTCCCTTGAAATAATTATTCTTTCTCATACCAGTAGTAGCCAGTTGCTACATAGTTGATTCCAACTTCTGGCAACCCCATCGACCCTATGTGTGTCAGAGTAGAATATCATAGGATTTTCAATGGCTTATTTTTTTAGAATAGATTGCTAGGTCTTTCTTCTTCTTTTAACTTTTTATTGTAATGTGAGTGAATGTTTACAGAACAAATAGGTTTTCTATTCAGTAATTCATACACATTTTGTTTCCTGACATTGATTTTCTCTTAAGTCTCTCTTCTGAGGAAACTCAGCATAGATTGCAAATACCAACATTTCAGTTAGCAGCTGAGTGCACTGTTGATACCACACAATACATGTGTTATTGTTAAGTACCTATATAGGGTTCCGTGGAACACCTGGTGGGTTTAAACTGCCAACCTTGTGGTTCACATCCAGTGCTGATCGTACAACACCACACCAAAAGTCACACAATACATGGTGGTGTTGGTGGTTTTGTGTAGTTGGTTCCAACTCATAGCAACCTCGTACAGGGTTTCCAAGGCTGTAAATGTCCACGGGAGCAGAAAACCTCATCTTTCTCCCACAGAGCAGCTGGTAGGTTCAAACTGCTGACAGTAAGGTTAGCAGCCCAACTCGTAACCACTATGCTACCAGAGCATCTTCACACTATACATCGTAGTAAATAAATGTGTGAGTGAATGCACACATAGCTTGCATTGACATGGTTTATGTCAATTACTTTTTCTTTATCACAGAAGTGCTTGACATTCAACCCAGCCAAAAGAATATCCGCCTACAGTGCCCTGTCTCACCCATACTTCCGTGACCTGGAGAGGTGCAAGGAGAACCTGGATTCCCACCTGCCGCCTGGTCAGAACACCTCAGAGCTCAACACAGCTTGAGACCCAGGCTGCTGCCTTGAGCTGATTGTACCCAGAACGCTCTGGGTGGCAGGCAGGTGCCCCCGGGAAGACCCTACAGAGCTGATGAGGATCGCCATCCGGAGGCCCTCCAGCTGCTGTCTTCTGGATGGGCTCTGCTTCTCCAAGGAAACCGCCTAGTTTACTGTTTCAAAATCAAAGCAAAAATGATTGCAGCTTTATGTTTGTTTGTTTGTTTGTTTGTCTGTCTGTTTCAAGAACCTGGAAAAATTCCAGAGGAGAAGCTGCTGACCAATTGTGCTGCCATTTCATTTTTCTAACCTTGAATGCTGCCAGTGTGAAGTGGGCAATCCAGGCACAGCTGAGTTATGATGTAATCTCTCTGCAGCTGCCAGAGCCTCGTTTGGTACTTTTGAGTTGAGTGTATATGTGTGAGAGAAAGAGGTAACGTGTATTCTGTAATCTCTTAAAAGTGTTACTTTTTGTAAGCGACATAGAGTAATTGAATTTTAAAGACTCAAAGTGACTGATGAATAATGTTGACTGAAGGTGATTGATCAGAATGGATTTCTCAAATTAGAAGGTTGAGCCTCTGTTTTCATCATTTCTTTTCTGGGCAAAAGCATTAAAAGATTCACTATGCAGATGAAGATTTATACACATAGCCAAAAGGATGAAAAAAGTCCTAATATCTTTTTTAGAGACCGGTTTTTAAAAAGCACACATTCTATTACTCCTTGAAAAGCTGAATTTGCTCATTGTACGTCAGTTTTAATCTTCTGTGTAATACTATACTTTATTGTTTCTTTTGAAAAATACCCTGTAAGCTTTTTAATACTTGCTATAGATTTAGGGAGTGTACCTCAAATAGGTAAAAGCTTGAAGAAAAAAAAAATAGAGAAAGTTTTTTATTTCCTGGTTTGAAATTTCTTTATTTTCTTTTAAATATTTTGTGTTCTTTTGTTTTGTTTTTGTTTTTAGGGATTTATCAGAAACTGTTTCCTGTCTTGGTTTGGAGAGTAGGTCTCCCAGACAAGACTGTTAGTTAGGTTTCCCCCTCCTATTACATAGTACTTTGTATCATGCACTGCCTTGCTTGCAAAGTCTGTCCCACAGCATCTCTAATATCTAGTGCTACCATTATATAATAACAGATTGCTTAAGCTGGTCCCACACACCACCTGCTTGCTTTCTTTCAATGAACTTTTCATCAGTAACACAGTTGGATTATGGCTCATGGCCTTAGTTCCGCAGTCCTAGCACGATCCATATGTTCTCATAAATACAATCTTCCTCCATGGCATTCACCACTGTTACCTAGGAATTGAGCAGAATACTGGTTTTGCTTTATCACCAGCACAGAGACTGCTTTCAACTCTTACTGACTGCCTTACATTTTTGTAGACTATATTGTCAGTGCAGATCTGAAGCAATGTGTTTTAGGGATCTAGATTTACTCTATAAACTGATGCTTTTCCCATTCCCCAGATTGTGTTTGCTTTTTAGTGCCTTTCGCACATCCCAGCTCTCTGAAGAACCAATTAGCCCCCGCCATTGAAAACAGCTTTGCTTTTTCTCTTGGCTATTTTCTTGCCTTCTACAGAACTTCATATTCTGTACCATCTCTGCCTTAAAGGTGGCTGAGTGCTCGAGCAAGTTGGCTTTAGTAACCAGAAGACACAGAAATGAAGTATCCTATGCTGTCTAAGTCATGGTTTGAGTACATGCAACAGTTAGACCGTGTTCAGCGTTACGATTTGCAAAGATTGGACATTGCCTCACTCAGGAGAAAATGTTCCAGATGATATTTATTCATTGTAAAGCCTTACTGAATTCTTGACAGCTTCATTTTGCAAATGACTTTCTTGAACAAGAGAAAACTTAGGAGATGTTCCTCCTGATAGCTTTTTAGGTTGTGAATCATTCTTATATATATGCATATTCATTGTTAATCTTGGTCTCATTCAGTAGTTTGAAGAACAGGACATTTTTCCTAACACAAGATTAAGAATGGAAAGATGGGCCATAAGGATGTAATATTATACTTTCTTCAAAAAAACTGCTAATATTTGTCATCACTATAAATGCTTGAGATATAATGACTCCCGAGCCTTCAGGGCAATTGTTCTCAGTCTCATTTGGAAAAGTGAGTTCAGCCTTTCCTTTCATTGGGGATCCAAATGTAAAGACATTTTTGTTGGAGCCTACCAAATGAATATAAAACTCACTGCACTGATTCTTCATGAGCTTTTTTGGTCAGTATCCATGGCTAGAGTGAACATAACTTTAGTTTTTGCTTTTGCAAAAGTTTATTATAAGTTACCTGAAGAAAAATGCACCTGTTCTAAACTGGAATTTTTTTTTTGTTTCTGCATTCTTTAGAACAAGTAGCGAGCTCAACTTTTCTTTCTAGTATATGATGTTTTTGGCTCATTTCTCAGTAACGTTTATAAAGAAAAAATGTACAAACATTTTGTCAGTAGATTCTTAGCAAATTATCCAATTTTGTCAGGAGAATGAGAGGGCATCTCAGCCTTTGTGAACCTCACTGAGAGTCTGTCCCCAGCTCTCCCATTGGTGTGGTCATTGCACACATCTGATTGTTCTCCTTTTACGTCCTGTACATCATGCTCAGCATTTCTGAAACTCTGCTCCCACATAGCAGCCTTGCCATCTAGGCATTGTGAAGCATGATAGCAGAAAAAGCTTTTGCTGAATATAGCTGCTGCTTCTGTAACCTATGGTTTTGAACATCCTTGCCAAAAATTAGGCAGTGGCTTGCTGAAAAGGTCCAACTGTCCTAGAGTTACACGGAAGCAGCTTGTAACAAGTAAAACCCTGGTAACAGATTTTAAAGCACAATTTGATTTCTTACTAAGTCTAGTGCAAGAAAATGCCTGGTTGCTCCTGTGTGCTGGTCTTTTTTGGTGTTCCTCTTATTTGGGGAGCTGTTGTTTAGAGCAGAGAGGAGTAAACTATGATGAAAAAGTGGTGGTCTGTTCATTTATTTAGCCATCATAAGCTATCATGTGGCAAAGGGCAATAAACACCTAACTTTAAGAACTCAGTGATTTGGAGCCTCCCACGCTGTCCTTCCTTTGAAGTAGATGGGGAACTCAAGGTACAAAGCAATTGTCCAGGAAGAAAGCACAGGACATTGCAGTTCCCTGTCCTCAACGATTGTTTCTTGAAAAACACTCACTGTGAATGGCCAGCTTTTCATTTAGCCCCAGATGACTTGCTGGAATTATTTACCTACTAGGGTCTCAGAATTTTATTTTAAGTAGAAATGAGAATTGTAAAGAGTTAATTTTAAAGAAAGTATGTTCCTTTTAGTACAGGAATATGTAGTTAGACTCCAGAATGCGGTGCTATCTTGATGAGAAAACTCTTAAATAGTACCAAACATTTTGGACCTCAAATTATATTATTTGAATTGAATCTTTAAGTACCTGTAACTACTTTCTTGAAATAGTGCCTGTTAAGTTCAGTAATAGCAATTCTCATCCCATTAAGGAAATAAAATCATGTAAGCTTTCCAACATTATACATATATTAAAATTCATCTACCCAAAGTATCACTGCCTTTTTCTTAAGTGGCAACTTGGCTATTTTTTTATGGTAAGCACATGAGAGTGTCTCACAATTTTCAAAAACAGGTTTTGTTGCATAGTTGGGTATGGGAAAGAATAATGTTAAAAGTTAATTATGCCATCGTAATTACTTAATTGTGTTAATACAAAAACTTCAGAATATTTACTTTGGAAAGAAAAAATTAAAGTATTATTATAAATACTTAGATATTGATGGAATATTAAAGTATTATTATAAATAATTAGATATTGATGGAATGCAAAAGAATGTATGCGTACACTGAGACAGATAAAAATGTTAAATGATCTTTAAAAATTATTCATAAAACAATGGACAATAAATAGAGGAATTTCTAGAAAAAATAAAGCTATTCAAATAAGGATAATTTCAAAGTTAATGTTGAAGGATGTATGAGTATATATTCTCAACAAATATATTGAAAATGGATATTAAAAATGACCTGGTAACTGTGAAATTGATACGATGAACGACAATTTGTATGGAGAAGGTATTTCAAGCACATTTACGTTTCACAGGTTGAGCAGAGCAAAGGAAACCATCCACATCCCCTCCCTTCATGGGAAGAAGCAGCCTGGTGAAACTATATTTAGTGCACATCCCTAAGAATATTTTTTTTATTAAAAATTATAAATAAATTTTTAAAGACATGCTTCTTGTGCCACCCAGATTTTTGAAAATTTGTGAATATCACTCAAAACCATTTACTCATTAAATCATGTGCATTAAATTTATTCAGGTATCTAATTAGCAAGATAGTTACAAGATTCTTCACCATGTAAAAAAAACTAATTGCTTGTTTTAGCAGTCAAAATCCTTAATCGTATCTTTCTAAAAAGCATGAGAGAATAACATTTTCATTTCTTACTGGCTCCCTTTTGTATATCAGTGCAGTTCTCAACCCATTTTTTTTTTTTTTTTGGCCATATGATGCATATGTATATCTCAAGCATTTTTAACTTCTATTGTTTCAGAAAATAAACCAAAATATTTCTTTGGCCTTCTCTATCTTCTGACCTTTGCAAACATCAGAAATGTAGAAATAGAAAGGGGCTGATTTTTAAATGTTATTTTTATCTCAAATTTTTTTAAAGTATCAATCAGTTTTTCAAAAGAATTTCTTTTTATTATTCCCAAGCAGTTAGTTCGATAAATGGATGGACTTTTATCAACATGTTTATGTTCCCTTAATACTCTGTCCTTCAGGAAGAAAACTAAAGAGCCACCTGAAAATGAATACAGCCTTTTTAAAAAACAATGTTTTAAAATAATTTAAAAAGTGCTATTACATCAATTTGAAGGTACTATGATAAGGAGCTCTGGTAGTATAGTGGTTATGAATTGGGCTGCGAACCACAAGGTCGGCGGTTCGAAACTACCAGTCACTCCGCGGGAGAAAGATGAGGCTTTCTACTCCCGTAAAGATTTACACCCTCGGAAACCCTGTACAGGGTCGCTATGGGTCAGAACCGACTCGACGGCACTTAGCAACAACAACAACAAGGTAACAGCCTACCAGGGAACCCTAGTGTGGTGCTGTAGGATCAGGACTGGACTGCT